TGATTTCCCTAAGTCGAGTCTGTTTTGCCCGTGACAATAATTGCTGAGTGATCTCTCCCTGCCCTTCTCTCGACCCACGAGCCTTTCGTTATATTTTCTCTCCCCTTTCCAGCTTCGGAGGGGGAGTGATAGAGCCAGGGTCAACGCTAGATGGCATCTGCAAACTTGACAAGAGTGCACTTGATGAGAGTCTCCTTCTCCAGGTCACCAACTAAAATGTTAAATAGGAGAGGTCCCAGGACAGACCAGCCTCTGGGCAGAGTACAACCCTGTAACAACTACCTCCTGATCCCAGCCATCCAGAAAACGTTTTACCCATGGAGTTGTCCACTAGAATTTTGTTTAGGTTTCTTTCATTATATTGTATTCGCTACAGCGTTTAGGATCTCTACCATTCTTTGTAACACACTGTTCACTCACTTGCCAGACATAAGGAACATCCAAGTTGCCCACATTAATTCCAACAGTCAGGAGAAACCACTACATCCAGAAACAGGCTTTATGCAGTGTTTAAATCATACAACCATTTTGGAGAAGAACTTTGCCACTATTTAAAACTAGAGTTTATTAGATGCAATATCTGCTATATTAAAAAATAACCTAATTAACCTCTCCTTGTATAAGTTAGTATATAAATAAGGAAACTGTAATAGCACAGCAGGGGTGTTTTAATGTCACATGAAGCTGTACAGCAATTATTCTGTGTACCATGACTAACTCTTGAAAAATCTTAGGAATATGAATCGGATGATGCTACCATTGTTGAAATGATATTTCTCATTCTAAGTATAGTTTTGTGATTTCCTAATATTAGAGGAAGTAGGTGTATTGCTATCTAGGCTGATAATTCAAGTTATTCATGAGAGGAGTTTCTCACCCCATGGTTCATAGATCACCAACAGTCAGTAAGACATGAAATAATGATCTAAAATTCCCTCCCTCCCACTCAATGCCCCGAGCAAGTGAAGACTTACAAAACAGGAGAAAGTAAAATACAAAAGCATATTTTAAATGTATCCGAAATGTTAATCATTTGCAAATAGATAATTTTATTTGGAAAACATCCCAAAAGGCTCTAGCATTTTTTTGTTTTCCAGAAAGTTTTTTATTCTCCTCATTTAAAAAAAGTTGGGAACATGGATCTGTAAAAAAAATAGCTTGTACAACTACAATATGATGATGGCAGAAGTACAGTGCCACTATTTCTTTAAAAGACTCATAACTATGTTGTATGTGTTCATACCAGAGCAAAACTGGGTATAAAGAAACTCAGTAAAGAGCATAAATTGGAGATGTTTGGGTGGTGTGTGTTGTTTGGGTTTTTTTTAAATTGGCTTCCTATTTACGCAAGAATAATTAACTTAAGACCTGTAATTTAATTTGGCATTATTTTTTCTGTCTTTAGAAGAATGAGAGGTATGTCAGAAATTGCATATACCCATGAAGAGGAAAGTTTTTCTCACTCTCAAATTGTAATAATCGGATTTGGAAAATTAAGTAAAAAAATTCAAGAAAAAATGTTATTTTAAAAGTGCGCCCCAGTACAGATGCAAAATTCCTCATAGGAACCTGAAAAGCAGCATGTATGTGTATAAACATGTGTGTGCTTATACATACACGTACATACACACAGATTCTGTTGCTTGAGAGCAATCATTAAAATGACAGAGCTTAAAAGTCCCAAGATTGTGCTGGCATCACTGATGATGCCGATCCACAAACAAGTATGTCTTAGCAACCTACATGCCAAAAGCTGCCGTTGATGGCCCAAGGAAAATACTAGTTTTATCATCATTCAACTACAAAGTTCTGGAAGTTGTAGCTGGCAATTTAGTGCCAGTCTACCGTGTCGCTTGTCAAGGACAGAGAGACAGACAGAAGCTCATAGAAGGGTGTGAATTAAAGGAAAGACCCTAAAGCCCAACATGTGGGAAGTGACGCTCCTAAAGAAGTTAGCAATACCTTTGGTGGTGAACTTCTTTAAGCTGTTTTGACACTATTTAGTGTTTTAAACTGACCCAGAAGTCGGGACCAGAGCTCAGCACTCTGGCCCTTAGATCTTGCGGGCTTTATGAACCTTCCATTCTGCAGCGAGGCACAACTTCAGCAAGAAGCAGGGCAAGTGCCATCACCTCCTCAGCCCAGCTTAATCACCAGCCTCATTTGAGTACCAGGACAGATAACCAGGATTTTCACACCAAGGCCAAAGATGCATTGGCCCGTATGGGACACCCTGCAAGCACAGCTACCGAATCAGGCTTTTCAGGGAACTGAACAGACGCCTAATCTGTGGATTTAAGGATGAGAAAAGCGTTAAACTGAGCAAAGATGCGGCAAGAAGGAAGCAGTTTTACACCTATGCAGAAGCAGAAATCTAAGCACACAGAAGAGTAAATTTTTTACCTTTAAAATTACCTAGGAGATCAGGCAAAGGTTTTGTGAATTGTACCCTTGTATTTATATGTCTCAATTCTACCCAAGTCCCATTCTAGGCCAAGCAAAGGTTTTGCAAGTTGCACTCGTGCAGGCAGATAACCAGATTTCACTGAGTCTTTTTGAGGACCTATGCTTAAGTCTGCTGTGGCAAGGGTAAAGAAGGCCATTTCAGAGAAATCTCCCACTGACTAAGAGCAAAAACCAGGCAGATGAGCAACCTGTGTTTCTTTAAACAAACTGGGAGTCACCCACAGCAATGCCAAATGAATGCACTCAGTCTCGCCTGACTTCTGAAGTTACAGGGGATACCTGGGCCTAGTTATCACACGAGCAGAAAACTACCTGGGAATTCCCGAGCTAAGAAGTTACAGATAAACACTTTCTGAACATTGAAGCGCACACACACAAAAATGAGTTTGCTTGTTGCTGGTGTTATGGATGGACAGAAATTGCACCAGAACAAATCAACCCCTATGCAGTTTGCTTACACAAAAAGCTTCTGCATCTGACAAGTAAAGAAAATAGTCTCAAGAGGCTAAATATTTCTGAGGTTAAATTAACAGGCTATGCTATTAAAAAAAGTAGTATTCTGTTCTTTGTAGTCGAATTGAGCACCAAACCAGGTGCTGTTCTGCATGGCAGTCTCCAAAGACATTCCTTAGCCTGCAACGTTAATGATCAGCGACAACAAATTGAGCAGTATTTACATGATTTGCTTGACTACATCTTTCCTTTCACTGTCCTATCGTCATCCTTCCTAACATCATTTAGTAGGTAAAGTAAGCTTTGCCAGTGAACAGACGAGCAAAATTAGTTGCTTCCACGGATACATACTTATGCTATTGTATGTGTGATGTTATGGCACCGGACATACAATAATGATGCTTTCACAACTGCTATTCATTAGCTTCACTCATTTTACAGCATTTTCCAGAGATACGACTGGCCAAAGTTAATTTGTTGAATTTTTTAATTTGTTAATTTGTCAAATTTGTTAATCGGTCAGAAGTCTGCTCTGAAAAGAGGGAGAAAGCAGAACTAGAACTTGGTTTTATTTCTTTTTATTAAGAAGGACAATCTCTCTCATAACTAAAAGCCAGAAAAAAGTGTTTCGTCCAAAATAATCAGATATAAATAATTAGATCAGGAAGAAAATTATCAACAACACAATCTCACAAAAATAAAACTCTACTTCCTACAAAGACATGGGAAATTAATTTTTAAGAACAGAACAAGTAGCCACCTTTAATGCATGTTTCAACTGATACTTTAGAATAGCTCTTTATACCTCATTTTACTCAGAAAAAAAAAAAGGCGGCAATCATATGAAAACAACAGCTAGTCAGTTCAAAATCATTGCAGAGAATGTTTTTGCTACCTACCATACACATCAATTTTGCTTTCGAACAATGACTCAGATCACTTACCGGACTCCACTTAAGAAAACGAGGAACAAGCCCACCATCTTGCTTCTCTCCTCCCAAAATGAAAACCTTAATGATTTTTTTTTTTGCTAATACAAACTGGTATACCAGTGAAAGGAGTAATTAACCTTAAATGTGCGTTAATTGGTGGCTACTCCTTTAACAAAAACCAGTTAGGGTTGCTGCATACGAATAAAGCCCATTATCTTTAAATTAAAGTTTCTTGTATTAGAGCGTTAGTTAAATGTCACAAGTGTAGTACTCGTATAGCATACGCCCGTTCCCAGGCAGGTTTTTCCCTGCAGCCTTTTTTGCTTTATCCAGTCAAGTTGTGTCATATGTCCTGCCACTCTAACTCTCAAGAAGTCTCTAAATTACCTGAAGTTAGAATTTTCTTTTGGGGTCAACTTAAAGTTTTTTCATCTATCTTTAATGAAAGTACGGGAATTGTGACAAAGTGGGGGGAACCTGTTAAAAAAAAAAATTCATATTCTTTCTCCCTTTCAAGGAAAAAACCATATAATCTGGACATCCACCACTGGATGAACAGACAAATGCACGTTCTGGTGGATAATATGAGGTTGGATGCTTTAATTATTTAACTGCTCTTAGCCACTTTCCTCTGGCTAAATAACCTAGGAAATGGGGTATCTAAATTTTATATTTGTAGTACTTCACCGAGTTGTTTGTTGTACCTCAAATGATACGAGTTTGAATGGATACTTGAAAGTTTTTTCAGTCTTGCAGTGAAGCCACTAGACTGTCTCATCTCATCATCATCCCCTTAGAGGAGTTAATTCATCTGCAGCCAACTTACCGGTAGGAATTTGCAGCAGTCAAGTGCCTCAAATAGCATCTACTCTCAGCTGTCAATTAAAATGTGTTCTCTTTAAAGTCAGAGATCCATGGCTTCAGTATTGCCTGAAGCCAGCGCTAGGTTGCTAGGGTGCTACATAAGGAGGTGTGTATGATACTTTGGGAAATGGAACTAATGCAGAGATGTGAGGATTACTGGAGAACTAACCCAGTAAGTCCACCCAGAGCCATAAGCAAAGCGACTATCATCAGGGTTACAGTCCTGTTTACTCCCTGCTATATCAGTCCTACACCAGGCTGACATGACTGGACTGACCTAGACAACCGCAGCCTGCAAAATCCATCTGAACTCCATGCCACATGGACCTACCTTCTTCAGTTCCACTGCCACGGAAAACCCTGCACCACCCCAACTGCTACAGAGTAAACGTACTCTGTGACTTGAAGTAAAAGCATGTCCAAATAATTATTTGACAATTTCAGAGACCTTTCAATATGCAAAAGAACTAACCAAAACCAAGCCTCTTCCTTCATGTCTCCAAGCCCCACAGATACAGCTAATGGAAACTGCAGTCTGTAGTCCCGTCAGTCATTTTGTTCTGTGTTGCACCTCTCGAACTGCACTCATGAATAAACCCTACTATTTCACAAATGAACAGATTCAAGCGTAAGGTGATGCTGAAAACTTGCCGTACGGGGTCTGCCATACTTCCTGTGACTCAATACATTGTCACAGATTTTCTGGCAACAGTCAAGCCTTCATCAATGAAGAAAAAACCCCTATATTTAAGACTATTTTTTAAATTTTAAAAAGCTCCAAAAAAGTTTAATGAAAGAAGCAACTACTTCTGAAGAAAGACACAGACAGTAGGAGAACATTTTCAAAGCTTGTAATGGATCATAACTCAGTAAGAAGACACTAAAATTGATACATAGAATCATAGAATATCTCGAGTTGGAAGGGACCCATAAGGATCATGGAGTCCAACTCCCTGCTCCTCGGAGCATAACTGTACATAACTTTACATAACTGTAAAAGATTTCAGTTTGCTTTTAAATAATCTTAAACATTTAATTATGACAATAAATAGGAACAATCAATGCGGTGTTAAGAAACTGTGCAGAGCAAGTAGCTATGAAAGCTGTTGTACAATGTATCTGCTGAATCTCTTATGACCCAAGGCTTCGGATTTCAGTTTTTGGCAGTGGATTCCAACAAGTCTTTTGCTTCATTTATTTTTGTTGCTACGTAAGGTGATCCACCTGAGAAGAAAAAGGGGAAAGGAATACCATTTACACATCAGTATTAAACACCAAACTACTTCACTTGCAGCATCCCCTTATTACTCACTTTCATTAGCTCCTCCTTCCTAAATAGATCCTTTTCATACAACTGCTTAAAAAATTACGTTGATATGAAGCAAACTAATTGATAAGGAAACATGAGAAATGTCATCAAAACTGAAGTCACTGAAGAATAACACTGAACAATGTCTCAGAGAGAAGACTGAAATCTGAAATCACTTTACATCGGTGTGATTTAGACTTGCAGTGCAACGTTGCTGCAACATATGCAAGGTCAGCTGTCTTGAACATTCATCCAAAGCTAATAGCTATTATTTCCACCCACCCCAAAAACTAAGAGGTAAAGTTTTATAAATAATTTTGACAAAGAATCATTAAGTGCGTGCACATGCACACACACACACACCAAGCCTCTCCTGTGCTAGACGCCCGGAATTACCAGCCAGAAACCATCACATTAAAGCTATTTAAACATGGTACGCCTTCTAACTTCTAGTCCTGAACACTGTCATTGCTTTACGCTCCATCTAACAATCTGATTACAGTTCAGCGGTCTTTTTGTGTTTGGTTTTTTTACTCTCCCCTTGAGTGCCAACCATCTGCCTACAGCCACCAAAAACAACATTACAAGGTCTGTATCAGTCACTTATCACCTACTATAATACACCTATATTTTTTACATGAAAATATGATTCCAGCAGTACTGTGCACTGAATAGCCTTTTCCAAAGCATCTGTTCAATCATAATTTTTCATTCATCATTTCGTTCATTCTATTCAATTCATCAGAAATGATAATGATAGAAGAAACACGCAGAACTAGTTGTAGACACATGTGGCAATGCTTGCTCAAAGACTTCTTTAGGACATTCCTTCAGGAATCCAAATCATTATAAAGTCATTTCAGGGTGTAATAAAACAACTGGAAAAAGTAATGGCGTTCTCTTGTTCATGTTTTGGTTTTGTTTGAATGTAGCCTTAATAGGTAAGACACACCGGAGGAGGTGAGGCAGGGCAGGGGAAGGGTAGAGAACTGGCTACTGGAAAATGAGTTTCTCTTTTTCTTTTTTTAAACCAACTGGCTTTTTAGACAGGAATAGGATTTACTACATTGAGAATTGCTTCTTTCAAAGAGTAGACAAGAGATCAAACAAACAGTAAAGACTAAAAACTGCAATAAACAATGTATCTCAAGTAATTTTTAAATGTATGTTGATTTTCTACATGTCTAGAGTGCAGGATCTTAAAGTAAATTCATATCTGCTGGAAGTGTTTTCACTACATTTACATCCTTAAGTGCCAATTTTGTAGCCCTCCAATGAGAGAAAATTCAATCTCATGATTGCCTAAGTGTTTGTTTATAATTAGGGCAAGTCCAAAAGGCTTCTCTCCTCCTCTTTTTCTGTGAGCAAATATTCTTTCATAAAATTAGTAACTGATAAATTAACATACAATGTATCAATATAAAAACACTTTAAACTGAACTATGTAAAGGTTAATAAGCAACCATTTTAGTAACGCTCACTGGGGATGTTATTATGCAAACTTCTATGTATTTCTTATTTATTTATTTCTAATAATTCTCTCTTTGACATTTGGGATCTCAGATAACATATGTAACTTTTAAAACCTGTAATTATTGCCCTTTCTTCTATCAACTCCATCTGGTAAAGTATTATTTTAAAATAGCACTCTAATGTTGAGTATTATTTTTAAAAGCACACCTGTGCTACCCACAACCAGAAGAAATATACATAAGCAAACAAGTCTCTCTGTGATGCCACGTGTTCAAGATTACTCCAGGCCCTAGCCCTGCAGCCAAAATTACATAAGATTTTTTTCTACGGCCATGCCAGAAGAGCTGCAGGGGCAGCACAGAGGCACAAATCCCTTCAACTGGTGTTCCTACTGAGAAAATGCTCCATCTTAATAGCACGCAGGAGGGCTCACTACATCCATCCAAACCTACACTGTGCCCAGCTGCCGGTGCATTACAGCTGTAAGAGTGGGTCGTTAAAATGTACGATCTTCGTAAAGGGAACTGCCTCTTTAGGTCTACTCAACACCCACATGGAGATTCACGGTTCTGGCTCACGTCTCTAAGTACTGCGACAATAAACTTAGAAGTTCATTATCAAAAAAATTTTGACCTAATAGGTACTTTAGTGGTTAAGAGGCCTCTGACCATCGTAATATATTGGAAATGCAGAAGATAATTTCTCTTCTATGTCTGTGCAGTTTATACATTATAAAAAGGGTAAAAAATGAAAGTGTGAAATCAAATAAGCAGGACAACTTTAGAATTAAACTGAGGGGTGAAGACAGCAAAGCAAAGCATCGACTAAACACTTCCCATGGCCAGTGGTCACAGTTATTTTTTCATTTTCTTAAAATGGGGTGCTGGCAGGGAGCCCTGTAATTCTGTCAAAAAGATATAAAAACCCTCCGATCTCCCCTTTTGACTTCTGAAATACAGTGCAACTCTTCACCATCTGTTATTTTAAAGTAGAAACAGCAATGAACATATGGGCTTTCTTTCTCAACCAGCTGTAGTGTAGTTAAAGTTATAATAATAGCCTCTCTGTATGATAAATTTACATTAAAAACCTGGCCAGTAAAGCAACAGTGCCCAGCTTTACATTTTTTCCAAGCGAATTCCAGGAAGTCTGAAATTCATCAATGATGTATTTAGTGACTGCAGAACATTTCCGCACAGAAAGTTACTTTCACACACGTGACTGGTCCATCTCAGTTCAAAACATGTCAGTTTAATGTAAAAATGTTATAGCTATTTTTTTCTTATTTTTGAATAAGTTTCTTTAAAGTGTGGAAGGCTGGTCCCTGAGCTCATAGTTTTAACCTGAAGCAGCACAAGTCTAGAAAACAACATTAAAGAAAGATGGGTAAAACTGCAGTTCATAAAGCCTGGTTTATCTGAGAGAAGACACATGAAAGCTCAAGTCTATAAATAAACAACATACATTTGCACTCAGTGGGGTTATTTACACAATCAGTAAAGTGAAAGGATCTCATTTAAGTCTCGTCCTTTCCAGCTCTGGTTAAGAAAACTAATAATTATTTACCTTTATCAGGATGATTCAAAATCATGATTCTTCTATGGGCTGTTCTGATTTTGGCCTTGCCAGCAGATGGACTGCAAAAAAAAATTGAAGTGTTTACCATAAATGCCACTGCGCTTAGGCTACAAATTAACAGTTTATAACGGCTTCAAAAATAATTAAAACTTGAGATTTTCACCATCTTGTGGACAAAACATAAAACTGCATCTCCGAGGAAGTAACAGTAACAAAGGCATGTAAGACACCGAGAACAACATTTTTAAAAAGCCTGTGTATTTGACACATACAAATATCTTTCAGGTTTTTTTAAAAAACA